GAATGGAGGCTAAGGTCACCATACGGAATTTGCGGGGCTTTATAAAGAAGTTTGCGTCTCTTAAGTCCAATATGGGCCGGAGGCCACCGCCCCTTTTAGAAATCAGGAAATATCTTGAGAAGAAGCAACATCCAGCTTCCGCAGGGTGGATTCTGGAGATGGCTCCCTTCTCTAAGAGGATGGAAATTTCCTCTTGCAGCTGTGGGGAGGATGGTGTAAATTTCAATACCTCTCCGGGGGGGTGAGAGTCAAATTCTATGGCGTAGCCATGCTCCACGATGGAAAGGACCCAAGAATCCGTTGTTATTCTTCTCCAAGCATGCACGAAAGGGGCCAACTGGTCCCGGAAGGTGCCCTGGGAATGTTGTGGCAGGTAACTATCGCAGGATAAGGAACCCTCAAACAAAGAACTTAGCTCAACGGAGCCAACTGTGGAACTTTGAAACTGTGGATCTGAAGAGGTAACTGGCGATTGGCTTCTGGCCCGTGGGCTAGAAGTGGCGCTTCTGGCGCTCTGGCTGTTTACCTCCACCACGCTGCTGGTTTCTGTATGGCAGAGATGGTTTTCTGGTAGGTGCTGGTGGAGCAGAGGGGCGTTGACGTCCTCTGAAGTTTGGAGGGCTGTAGCGTCTACGGTGTTGCTGAAAACGATTCGGCCAGTACTGTCTGTGGTGCTGCGACAGGTAGGGAGAGAAGCCATATTTGTGAGCCGTTTGTCTCATTTTCTGGGTGTGTTCTAATTGTGAGTCCGTTTCCGGGTTAAAGAGACCCGCCGCATCCATTGGGAGGTCTTCTATTACTGTTCTGGCTGATTGGGATAGACCTGAGGCCCTAAGCCACGCATGGCGACGTAAGGCAACCGCTGTTGCTAGGAGTTTGCCCGCTGCATCTGCGGTATGTTTGGCTAGATCTTTCTGAAAGGAGGCCAATAGTGAAGCTTCTTGGTGGAACGCTTTTGCTAGCATCTGTTCATTTGGTGGGAGCATGTCCACGTATCCAGCTACCTTGCTCCATAGGTGCTCTTGGTAGCCTGCCATATATGCCCCGTAGTGCGCCATTCTGGAGGCGAGGCAGGCTGAAGCATAGATCTTTTTCCCTAAGTTCTCTAGCTTTTTGCCTTCTTTGTCAGAGGGGGCACTTTGAGATCTCTGTGAGGGTCGAGGTTGGCTAACATCTACCACAATAGAATTTGGCTTAGGTTGTTTGGCCAGCCAAGGGGCAGCGGAGAGGTCAACTTTGTATAGATTCTCAGCCCTTCTGGGTGTTGCAGGCACCGCTGATGGAGCTAAGCCTTCGGCTTTGCTGAGTTGCAGTAGAAAGGGGAGGGTAGGACAGTGGTTGGGGGATCATGTTGTTTAGAAGAAGGGAACATCTGATCCTCCACTATCTTTGCTGGTTTTGGCAGTGTTAGTTGAAGGGCCTTAGACAATCTGATCATTAGAGCTGAGAATCCTCCCATGTCTTCTGTAGGGAGTCCCTCTGAATCAGGTTGAGGGTCAGAGGGAGAGAGAGGGCAGTCCTCTGAATCTGAGGAGCCCGAGAGATGATTTGCATCAGCCTCTGGGGTTGCTATTCTCGGTGCCGAGCCATTTGGTGTTGGAGCCGAGGGTCCAGCAGCAGGTGGCGCTGTTGCGTTGCTGGGATGAGTTGCCTGCACCGGTGCCGACTCAAGCCTCGTGGGCTGGCTGACGGATCCAAGCTGGAGAGGGGCCGGAGAAGCAGCCTCTGGGTGGGCGTGGCTTGCGCTGGGGGGCATCGCTCCTGGGAGAGGGTGGGGGTGGTCAGCGTAACGGCAGCACTCAGCATGGCGGCAGCAGCCCCTCCCAGCGTGAGGCATGGCATACTTGTATTGGGCATAGTAGTCCCTATGATATCTGGAGTGGTGGTGCTCTGGGGAGTAATCTTCCTCATAGTAGGCTCCCACAGGGCTTCGGGAGCAAGAGCTCCAAGAGCTGATGGAAGGGGACCTGCGTCGGTGCCGTGGCACGTGGCGCGATCGGCGGTCCTGGGAGCGGCCTCTGCCCTCTTTCTCTCTCTCCCTGGCCATCGCTGAGGGCAAGTTTTGGGATTGTTGGGACAATCCCGGTGGAGTGGAGGAGCCCGCAGCGCCCTGAGCTCACTCAGGTAAGTTGTTTGGCGAGAGAGGTCCCATGGCCGATGGCGGGGAGGCTAAGGGTGCGCCGCTTGGGCGAACGCTCTCCGCGGGGGAGAGCGTTGGCGGGTTTAGCGCCATTTCCTCTTGGGCCGTTGGAGTCGCCATTTGCTGAGCTTCCCCCAGCGGCTCTCTTGGCTCTTCAGGGCGGGCTTGGGCTGGTTCATCTTGGGCCGTGCCCCTAGTGGAACGGGGGCTCGGGGGCAAGTTACCACCGAGTTGCCCCTTCTTTTTCCCCTTTTTAAGCCCTTCCTTATGCTTAAGGGGAGCCTTTCCCTGCTTGGGAGGCTTGGGCTTCTTGGCGGGCCCCGGCTGAGGCTCGTCCTCCGCTTCCCTCTCGGGAGGGGGGAGATGGGAGGAAGCTAGTCCCGCTTCTTGAGGGTTAGAGAGCCCATCAGGGTTAGGGCGCTTCTCCGCTCTGCTGGTGCTTGGGGCTAGCGCTCTCTCATAGAGAAGGGCCTTAAGCCTCGACTCTCTGTCCTTGCGGGCCCTGGGGGTGAACGCCAAGCACACTTGGCAGGATTGAGGGCGATGGGATTCCCCCAGGCAGAGCAAGCACATGGAGTGCCCGTCAGAATCGGGCACCTTGCCGCCACAGGAGCCACATTTCTTGAAGAAAGAGGTGCTCATATCGGAGGAAAAACTGGCCTGAGAGTAGTCAACAGGCAATCCGAAGTCGTGGGTAGGAGAAAATCCGGCAGTCGATGAGATTTCCAAAGTCAAAAAACCAAGTCCGTCCGTTAGAAAAAAACTCGCTACTAGAGAGGTTCCAAACGCTGTGATGGCGGAAAAAGGAACTGAGCCGAGGCTCCCGCCTTGGATACTTATAGTATTGGGGAGTGTGGGCGGGGCGTCCGCCGAAAAGTGTCTATTTTAAATTCTAGAAGGTTCCGAACAGCTGCGCATGCGCAGAATAAAACCCCATTATGTGCGTCTTTCACAGACTACACGAAGGGGAAACAAAGTTCCATTTATAATTGTGAGGAGAAGTGGAATAAATGTCAATTAAACTTTATACCGGACAGTAGGTGAAAACAGAACCAAGAAAACAATTTTCAGCATAGACACAGGGTACTGGCCTTAATATCCTAAAGGTACCTGATCCCAACTAATCATGGAAGCTAAGGATCAGCCGTGGTAGGTACTCTGATGGGAGACGGTCAAGGAATAACCAGCTGCTGTAGGCTATATTTCAGAGGAAGGAGCTGACAAAAGCACCCCTGAATATTACATTCCTAAAAAAATCCTATGAATAGACTTGAAGGCACACACACACATTTCATTAGCAAATACTGTAAAGTCTTGATTATCCAACCTTCGCTCATCCAATGTTCTGCATTATCGAACACAGTCTGCCTCCTGCATAGATCCACAGCTGTTTCAATATATTGCGATCTTTTGGTGCTAAATTTGTAAATACAGTAATTACTGCATAACGTTACTCTGAATTGAACTGCCTTTTCTATCGATTTGGTGTAAAACATAATGTTTTGGTGCCTAATTTGTAACATAACGTAATTTGAAATTTAATAGGCTTTTCCTTAATCCTTCCTTATTATCCAACATTTTTGCTTACCTAACGTTCTGCCAACCTATTTATGTTGGGACAAACAAGACTCTACTGTAGCACTATTCATTTATCTTCTATACACAAATGAAAGGAAGATGTAAGTGCTCAAACTGTATGAAACCAAAACCATTACTATTCCAGCTCAACTTCTACCACTCCTTAAGTTTTACCATGTAGTTCTATGGCCTGGTTACAGCATTTCACACAACTTTGGACCATGACAATGGAGGCCAGCCAATCCCATGAAGCTATCAATGTGTTCACCTCAATGTGCTCCTTTTCAAACCTTCCTCGTGAACACAAACAGGGAGGAGATGTCTTGCTCCCCATTTTTGTTTTGAAAAGAATAGCAAATAGGGCTGTGGAAAGAATACATTGTAAGGGAGCTCTACTGCATGACTACACTTATCATTTTCAACCAAGAGCTTAAACATTAAGTATTTGACTTTATGTACACAATTCTTTTTGCAAGGGATCAACTGGTATAAATTTCAATTTGCAATTCTCCTGAATTTCCCCTTTGTTCCATCCTGTATACAAACTCCAAAATAATATTTGACAATATGTTTCTGAAATATCTTTTGATCCATTGTTCAAAAGAAGTTACTTAGGTAAGTAAAAAAATGAATAGATTTCCCTTTGTCAGATAAAAAGATGATAGTTGTATCATTGCTAATCAAGACTGTAGCTGATGAATTTTAATGACTGGACATAGATTAATTTTCACATTAAGGATGCAAATCATATAGGGCTATGAGGGTATCACTTTTAGATGGGATAACCCTGAGTGAAAATATTACTGTACAATTTTATAGTAAGCCTATTGGTACAAACATTTTACCTTAGGATAGTTATCACTGTGTTAAGAGATAACTTAATACTTGTCCAGTTTAAGATTAAAAGAAAAAAAGTCTTTAGATCTGTATAACTGACACAAAGACAGATCTACACAACAACTGCAATTAAGCAGTTTTCTTTAGGCAAGCCATAGAGAATGATAACAACAAATGTGAGATGAATTAGAGATGAGAATTATTCCAAAAAGTAATAATCGCATATAAAAAGAAACAGAGAAATATAATAGATATCTTTTCCTACAAATCCTACATCCTCGAAACATGATTCGTTAAAACAATATATCCCTGGATGCCAGAATTTACTATTTATAGGGCACTGTTCACCAATTAGTGTAAAATATAAAATAGTCCAATTCTGGCTACAATTTATTTAATGAAGATTAAATAAAATGTTTGAAGCTGCAAGAACATTTCAAAGCTCTAAGTAGTCAATCAGTTTATTTTACAAAATGATACAGAAAATTCTTGCATGATTTTAAATATCTATATATTACATTTAGTTATAACTTTGAACAAAATGAAAATGGACAGATCGCAACTACTTTTAAAAAATCAACTCAAAATATCTGGTATATTAAAGCTGAATTACAATGAACACAGAACAGTAAGTAATCTATGTGATTAACAGCCAACATATTTTAAAAATTCACATACTGTTAATTTAGACCAATGGTTTCTAAGGATGGGTCCCCAAAATGTTGGATTACAACTCCAAGAATTCCTGACCACTAGCCTTACTGGCCTGGGCTTCTGAGTATGAAACTCCAATAGCGTATAGTAATCATTGCTGCAGGACATGAAGATAGTAGTTTCAAATTGGAGGAAGAAAGGAACATTTTCCTTAATATTCCCTCTTTACAAACACATCTGGATATATTAAGATCTGTGGGCCCTTCCAGATACTCTATTCTCCACCACATTCCTCATGACGCTTGGCATGACATAACACTTCCACTCCCCTCCTCCTCTCTGTCCCACCAAACTTAAAATGACTCAGAGCTAAGCTGTACATAAAAAGATCTTTTGTTATTTATCTTGTCTCCTTAATCATGCAAAAAGCATGCTCAATATAGCTGAGCTATGGGAAAATCCACGTTCAAATGTATGAACCTATGGCTGGAAGATAGATGACATATGAGTGGTGCTTCCCAATCTCTATGCTCTGACATATGAAATGGAAGTGGAAAATATTTCCCATCTAGCACTTCTTACAGCTTAAGTATTAGTTACTGTCGCATGTGTTTTTAACACTTGTTGTATATCAGTAAGCACTGGCAATGTCAAACTTTTGGTTTCGTAAGAGGTAAGTATGATTGCACCCATTCTTTTTAACCTTGCCAAAAGAAACCCGGTATAATGTAATTTAAAACTAGACCAACTGAAAGGTAATTTAAATGACATCACAGTATCAGAGTGTACACTCAAAATATAGTATTCTTTAATCATTCCTTCATAAAGTTAGCTCTTTTGTGGACTGTATATGTACATATTAGATTAACTATAAAACAGTAAGATTCTTAAATTTCCAATTCTGCTTTACATCCCTTAGCCTCTTTAACATCAAAAATACCATTTTCTTCAAGAGCAAAGTCCAAACCAAAATAACATTTTCACAGTTTTACATGGTGTGCTTTAACCTTTGGGACTATGGGTTTTCAACCAAAATAGAGAGACGGCTCATCGTCACTTATGTCTGAATCATCTTCATCCACTTCACCTTCAATGACTGATTTTTTTCCTTTGCAACACGACACAATTAACCCAAACAAGAAGACCTGTGAATTTAAATAAGTATAATGTATTACTGTTGATCAGCTAAAGCCCATGTGTCAAACTCAAGGCCCGAAGGCCAAATCCAACCTGCCATGTCATTTTATGTGGCTCTACAGAATCTGGACTACAACTCCTATATCCCTCATCATTAGACTAGAGCTGGTGGGAGCTGTGATACAGTGAGATCCAGAAGGCTGCAGCTTGTTCTGTTCAGTCAGGATAGTGGGATCTGAATTCAGAGACAAGGTTTGTGGAAATGATGTCTGGCTTTAAAATGTCCTTTAACATTTCCTCAACCTCAGAGCACAAGTGCTACTGGGTTGCAAGTCCCGTTATCTGCAGTCCATAAGGGGGATAATAAAAAAATATGGGAGTTGTCATTCAATAACATCTGCAGACCCAAACTAAAAAGCATCAAGCACTATGTAAAAAAATATAGTTGCCCCTCTATATCCATTGCTTCTCCATCAGTGGGTTCAACAGCCCTTTGAAGGCAACCATAAGGTTGATAGGGTCCTTGATGAAACTGAGCTTGACACCCCTGAGCTGAAGGAATATGTAAATAATAGGTTTAGAATGGGGTAATTGGGGTAAACTGCAATTATGGATTTTTGATGACATCCAAATAAGAATACATCTAACTAAGTAAATAAAACCCCTGTTATTTTTATTATGGCATCCAAATAAGATAACTTACCGCAATAAAAGCCCAGTTGCCAAAATAATATGCAACACTGAAGAACCAAAATTTGTGAAGGAATAGGTAAGTCCGAGTAACTGTACACTGATCTGAAAGGACAGAAAACAGTAATTGAGGTAATCAATAAACTAGTTAAACTTGTACATACTAAGTATTAACATATTTTGTCCTGCTTGAAAGGATGAGATAGATACAGCTTGTTGAAACAAGAAGAGGGAACTTGTGCGTCTCCAGCACTGATTGGCTCCAACTTCTACCATGCTTGCCACTTGGATTTGATGAAAGCTGAGCTAAATCATCTTGAATTCCATGCCATGATGTAAAGGAAGGATGAGGAACTGTGGGAAATTAGAGGGCAGCATTCGTCCCCCAGGAGAACTTGGGGGGTCACATTGCCACTATCAAAACATAGCCCCCTCCCCCCTGCAATGTTGTGGGGGCATTCCTGCCATATTTCTAGTCTACCCCAGGTCATTTTAGGCCCAGGATAGGTCATTGTTAAAAACAAGAAATAACCAAAAGTCACTTCCAATTTAACAAAATGCCTGAGTCTAAAATGGCTCAATCCTCCCCTCCGCCCGCTCAAACATGGTAAATGCCCCTAAGCTCCCTAAGAAGGATTTTAGGTGAAATATGGTTATATACATTTTGGTTCATAAGCTATACTCCAGATGATTTTTTGGCAAAAGGTGAGAAACACTGAGTTTCTATGTTATCAACAGCTCTGTGAAGGTTTTACATATACAAAATATAACATTTTTTGTCCTGCTTGAAAGGACGAGGATGTATCCACGTACATAACAACTGTAAACAAATGAATAGAAATAATGACAAATGACTCATCTTAACATAGATGCATTGTATTTAACAAGATCAACACAGAATGCATTTCATATATGAACTTTACTCTGATATAATTGTTGTCAAGGTAAGAATGTTCAATTTTGGCAAATGGTATTGTTGGCAGATAGTAGTAAGGCCAAGCTATATCTCATAGACAGGACCTTGTTCATCTACCACTTAATTTAGGAGGATAGTATCAGTAGAGCCAAATGACTTCACTGGTTCTACTTTCTTGGTCCTCCGGAGGGATTTAAGATATTATTTACAGACTACAGCTGGGGAAAAAAATCTTCTAAAACGGCTTCAGAAACTAAGCTGACATGTACATCTGCTTCTACTTAAAATAATTCTATGGGAGATGAAACAACAGCAAAGATGCAATGTTCACTTTAATGTATGAAATCAAACCCATTACTATCCCAGGCTTTAGGGGAGGATCGAAACTGTTGTCCCTACCCCAGATCAGATTCACTTCCCTTAGGTTTCACATGCCACGACGTCTTGCTAGCACGTGGCAAAAGATCTAGCTGGCCAACTGCATTCTTTACTATCTACTATGCGGACTATCCCCTGTAGCATTATTCAAAACTGATGCTATTTACAATAAACTGATACCCAAACAGGTGTCATTATTTCTTGAGCTGCTACACCTGATTTTCTCCACTGCCTATTGCGGAGACTCCCAAGAATAAATTCATCCGCTTGACGGTTTTAGCTTTACTCACAAATTAGTGAAGGGAGCTCTGATTTTGTCACAGTAAATTTTATTAAGGCAGAGAGGGAGGGGAAAACACAAGAGCACATAGCTCTTCCATAATGTTCAGTGTCAGGATGTGCTCAGAGGGAAAAAGCAAGGGAATGGTGATGTGGCAAGTGAGGAATTTAATTTAGGAATCTAAATTTTCTAACATCTCTTTCTCCCTGTCTCCACCTATTTTATTCTTATAACAACCTCATAAAACATGGTAGACTAAGAGTGATTAGTTCAAGGTCATTTAGTGAATTTTAGGGTTTGGCTTTGAATCCCCTAGTCTCCGCCCCAAATTTCAGGTAATGTACCACAGTAGCTTTCCATCACTTCTGATCCTTAAACCTTGGATTAATATACTCTTTTATTGGGGGTGGGGGTTAAACATATTGCATCACACATAATCAACACAAACGAGCCAGGCAAAAGAAGACTGAAATCATTCCATAGTCTGAAAGTAGGCTTGTTCCGTTTGCTCCAATGGCAACCATTCTTCTTTCCTCCTTGGCTATTTTTTCCTTTGGTGTTTTACAGAGCCTTAAAAGCTGTCTCCATGCAACAGACCTTAAAAGCACCCACTCCCACAACTAAATATCAACCAGTGACAAGCTGTCTGCAGCTTCAGATATATGCTTCATATACTGCTCAAAGCATCCGTGTTTCAGCAGTAGATCTGTCACAGTAAACAATGGCATTCAGTCTCTTTTCTCCTCCCCCACCAAAAGCCAAGAAGACAGTCAACTTGATTACCTGCTTTTCTCTCACTTAAACAAAGGAGAGCCAAAGAGTAAGGAACTGTTGCTATGGAAATCCGTAACAAACTCAAGAGTGATGCATCACATAAATGGAAAAAAGCTCTGGAAAACCTGAAAAATTAATCTGAAAAGGTCCTTGGCTGCCTGGCTTGTATCTTGACTTTGCAGAGATGTCCCTCATCTGCACTATAATACATTTAATATTAACAGATTCTAAGTAAAGTATTATTTGGTGGGCTTGGAAACATAAATAGGGAAATAATCTGAATTTCTAAAATAAAAGATTTTGTGACAGAGGTCAAGGTATTATAATCTTAAATGGTTAGCCAAAAATGAAGATGGTCCTCAGGTGAGGCTGGTGGAAGAACAAATGGCTATGCCTGCTGGGAAAAGAATCCCAGCAGGAATTAGAGAGGAAAGTTCTCACCAGTCAGAATATTTCTTAAAAGATGCAATGACTTTGTAGGAACAAGTCCAAGGGAGTTATGATCTGACATATAGTCTCCTTAGAAGTCTAAATCCAAAGAAAGCTCTTTAAAGCAAGTTTTCATAAGGAACAGTGAATGTTTTAGACTGCTATGAATCATGTCTAAATCTTCCAAATGTCTAACTTTCAGAAGTACATTTCAAAACTGAATCTAAACCTTATTTCACATTAAACTTCTTCTGTGAATTACTAGCAAAATCACACTGAAAGAGAAGGCCCTTCCACACAGCCATATAAACCAAAATATCAAGGCAGAAAATCCCACAATGTTTGCTTTGAACTGTTTATCTGAGTCCACACTGCCATATATTCCAGTTCAAATCAGATAATGTGAGATTTTATTCAGCTGTGTGGAAGGGGCCAGAGCCAACTTTTATTCTTCTTAATATATTACTGCCAATTTTAAAAAGAAGTTGATGGAACTTGGGAAAAAAGAGGAGAATGTGATTTTGTATGGTATCCCTGCCAGGCCTCTACCAAGCTGTTGAAATCAGTCTACTCAAAGACATAAATTTGTCTAAATCCCCCTGCACTGGAAAGTTAGCATATCCTGCTTAGGAGTGCTCACTCAAACAGAATGTGGTCTCTGGTTCTATGGAAGTCACCTGCCCTGTTTTAAAGCATATCCATTACATCAGCTATGATCATGTTGCCAGTTATTGTTTATCTAATACAGAAAAAAGAGATGAGCTCTTTTTCTCATTGTCCAGACTGTGGATGAGCTAATCAAGCTATTCCCTGTCCTCCTGACTCGTTTTCTTGAGTAGTTTCAGAATCCTAGATGTATTACAAACTTGATGCAAAAATAATAATTCTATGGTATAGTCTAAGCACACCTTTCCCCTTTGACTATCCCAGAATTATTCTGTCAGATGTTGGCATAAAAATAAACAATATCTGTTATAGAAATATTAACTAAGCTAAAAGATTGCATCACCCTGATTGTGGGACTCCTTTCTTTCATTTATGCATTTGTCAAGTGTTTGGAATACAGTTCCTCCCACCAGCCTTTGAGCCATTTCAAATCTCTACTTGTAAAGTGGCTTTCTTTTCTCCTTGCTTTATTTCCCCCCTTTGGGGCTCTGGCTGTTTTTGAAGTTGTAAGGTCCCTTGAAGATTCTTTATAGAACTGAATGGTGGGACAAAGAAATTATCAATGAAATGTCTAGAAAATAAATATAGGTTACTATCTAACTTAGATGTGAAACAGATTACCTCCTGAGTCAACTACTATACCCTACACGAGAAGAGGAAATAAAACATTTAATTAGTAGATCAGGACAGTGCATTTTTCAGCACCATCTGTAACCCCTCCAGCTGCTCACCTGAATTAAAGAGCAATGAACAGGCCTACAGATGGCTCTCTATGGTAATCTGACTAAACAAATTATAGCAGATATTTTGGACCTGTTTGACCTTCAAGAAATGTTATAATGAAATGCAACACTAGTTCAATGCCTCAATTATGATGTCTTTGCTTCCTTCCCTAGGGAGACAATTCCATTTGTTCAACATCATGTTATACAATACAGTGTAGACCCCAAGTCTTCCATTAAAAGGCACACCAATAAGCATTTCAAGTACAATAAAATAATTTAGATACACAACTGGTTTGATCTTTTGGCACAGAAATTGCCTCAAATCTCATAGAAAGCACTAGAAAATACTGGCTAAAAGGGCCAATGAGTGAAAATGGGAACAGATAATAAACACGTATCACTCAACATTTCATCTGGCATCTGTAGGACTGTCACTCATGGCTTATAAAGCCATTTCATAGGGCACTATAGAATAATATTGGCAATTCACCCATGTCCTAAGCCACCTTCAATGTATTATCTAAATCCACAAACACATATTTAGGGATCTTGCCCCAGAGGTGAGAAGGTAAACATTAATATCAGTGGCAGTACTAAGGAAGAGGCTATGTATTTGGGGTGTGTGTGTGTGTGCATCACCCTGTTTTTTGTGTGCAGTATCTCAGCAGAATTTCATTTTTAAATAAAAATATTCTTATAGTTATATATAATCACATTAATGTTTTTATAAGCTTGCCTTACATATGCTACATCAAGGGTAAGATGCTATGCTACATAACTTTTCAACCCCTCTAATGCACATGCAATCCAGTCAGAGCTGACATCACTACCCAATTACAAGAATGCTTCAAATCACATGGTTTTGTTTGCATGTGCTACAAGCATGTGCAACTTTTAATTGTTGCTTATTTTTTTAATAATCAACGATTTTGCCAAAATCCATCAACAAGATTGTGATAAGAACTAGTGTGAGGAGAGGACCATGGGGGTGACACCACGAGTTATCACAGCAGGAGGCACCAGCCCTAGTGCTGCCACTGATTAGGATATGTGTTAGCTTACTGCTGAGAAAACCATCCATTAAAACCCTTTGGTCAAAGTAGTCTGAACAATTCAACATGTTTACAGTTGGGCTTAGCTTGGCAATTACAACAACTAGCATTTTTTCCTCAAACTGAATAAAGTTTCAATATAGTATGGAAAAACATTGTTTTCCTTTCAACACTATTGAGAGCATTTAAGCTTGGAGGAAACGTTATCACCATGCTAAATGTTATCAATTTGTTAACTCCCTCCCCATGCATGTACTCACAATAAAAGATTTGCAGTGATGCTATCATAATAGTTTCTCTACTTGTAGCAGTGCTTTCAATATACAGAATATTCAATACTTATTGAGAGACACAATACCCATGCTTTAGAGTTCGCCACCCTAGAGTGATAATACAAATGGAAGACTGTTCTCTTCTGTCTCAGGTGAAATTTCCCAATTTCCTTCTTGGCTGTTATACTGCTTGCTGTGAGTCACTTACATTATCGTGACCTGGGACTCTCTGAACTACAGTCAACATTTATGCATGAGGAAGAAAAACACACACATCTCCTCTATATTTTCTAAAGAAAAATAAAAGTGAACTATTATTTCACACTTTACATTTATGCTTAAGACTGAATTATTTAAAACATGGTGTATATTTGCAACAAAACCAAGCGAAATGTTTCATAAACAAGATGAGCCCATTTGACAAACAAAATTTACCAAAAAGGATTTGTAAAAAATACGTTATATATTAAACATGTGACAGAACATGTTCTGACAATTACTGCTTTCCAGTGTGCTAGAGAATGGCTCTAAATTTGTGCCCATTGGGTACAACTGATTCCTTCTTTCCTGGAAACATTCCGGGACTGGGAGCCAATGGTTCAGGGGCTGGC